TTGTTTAGCTTAGGGTAATACTCTCCACAAAATTTCAGATATCACACACAGCAGAATTTTCACTGATATAACACCTAAGGCAAGAAAAACAAAGGAAAAAATGAACACATGGGACTATATCAACATTTTTAAATTAAACTTATGAAGTGACATTGGTTAACAGGATCACATCAGTTTCAAGTATATATTTCTATGACATATGATGTGTATATCAAACTAAAAAGCTTCTGCACATCAAAAGAAACCAACAACAAAACAAAAAGCCAACCAACCAAATGAGAGATATTTGCAAACAATGGCTCTGACAAGAGATTGATATTCAAAATATATAAAGAACTCATACAACTAAACACCAAACAAATAATCCAGTTAAAAATGGGTAGAGGACCTGAATACGTACGTCTCTCAAGAAGAGAGAACATTTTTTAAAAAACTTAAAAATGTGATTTTTACATAATTTTGAGGAAGCATATACTATCACATAACATGAAATGTCTTATATTGGGGCTGATTTTAATATTGATGTGGGAGTTAGAAATTTTATTGTCTCATGGCAGGGGTCTAGAGTCAAAATCTCTAGCTCATCTTCTTGTCCTGGGGTTCTCTAAGATCAAACAATTGTGCAGTCTTCTTCCAGCCTCTATTTCCCATTTAATTTACCAGAACAGTTAGTAATAATAGAAACATAAACAGTCAATATTTATTGAGTTCTGACCATATGCAGACATGCTCATTAGAGCTTTACAAGTATTATTTTTGTTTATTTTTACTGAAAATCCTATAAAGCAGATACTATTATCTATTTTACAGTCAAAGGGGTACTGAGAGGTTAAATCGTTTGCCTTCTGGTATTTGGTGGAGTTGGACCATGATGAGGCTATCTGACTCCAGAGTCTACACTTCGGACCTCTCTGCTCTACCTTCCCATCCCCAGTCATCTGGGCTCATGTATTGTCTTAGAGTGCGAATTACCTTCCTCTGGTGAACAGTGAGAGACCTTTTCATTAGATATTTGACTGATCTATTGATTTATGGGGAAACACCCAAATGGTAGAATATCTATTACATTTCCAGGAACATAAAAAACACTCAGTAGATAAGTTAATAAGATAATAAATTAATGATTAAGTAATGAATGAGTAAATGAATAAATATTAAAACATCCAAATACCACTAGGAGTTATCTATTAGAGGAACATCTCCCGAGAAATGTTTTTTCTAAATTAGGGGTAAATGAAAAGGCATGCTGATTTCTCTCCAGTAATACTTCCTAGTTTCTCAGAATTTTAGAGAGAAAAATTTGTCAATGGGAAAAACATCTTCTATAAATCTTCATTAAATGACTCCTTATAAATGACTATATTTAAGGGTACTTGGTAAATAGCTGTTTAATAAATATTTAGGTCATTGTCACACAGTTTTGCACAATTTACTCAAAGTTGGGGCAAGGGAAGAGGGATAGTGATGCTCAGTATTGCTGTATTGGACCACTAACCCAACAACAACAATAACAAATAAAACACTACTTGTCCTCATTATTATTGGCCCTCTTGTTATTATTTCCTTTACTATTTTTTTTTTAAAAATTTTTCTTTATTGATTTTTAGAGAGAGATAGAAACATCAATGAGAGAGAACATTGATTGGCCACCTCCTGCATGCCCCAAACTAGGGATTGGGCACACAACCTGGGCATGTGCCCTGACTGGGAATTGAACCAGTGACCTCTTGGTGCATGGGTTGATGCTCAACCACTGAGCCACACCAGCTGAGCTTGTTTTCTTTACTATTATTGGCTCATTGATAATGTATAGTTTGGATCTAGGCTATAAATGTTCGGTCTTAGTTCCCATCTGTTCTGAAAATATAAAGTCAAAAATCCTCCAATGACTTCATAAATCAGATGTGTCTTTGTCTCCTTTCAGTTATTTTAGTAACCCAAAGGACCACAAGAGCTAGAAAGAAGAGGAAGACCCACCCCAAATATCTGTGGAACTCAAAGCAAGAATACACATGAAACCCAGGTGTGTGTATGTATGTGTGTGTGTGTGTGTGTGTGTGTGTGTGTATCAAAGTAATAAAATTTAAATGTCCAGTCTCTAACAAAACCTGAAAACATACTCAGACAATAATGTTCTCATATTCTTATAATTATTGGAAGTCCAGTTTCAAATTAAAAATTGTAAGTCTCTGAAATATACATCAGGCACGGCAGTGTGGAAAGAGCAAGCTTTGTCTCAGTCCCAGCCCACCTCTTCTCCTGACTCCAAATCCCAACACAGGATGTCTCTCATGTATGAATATGGACTCAAAAAGTGCATTCACATCAGTGTGGCCCACCCTTAGGAGTTCTAGACCCAAGGAAGAGGCTCAAGCAGACCTGGAAATAGTCTCAGAGCATTTGAGCAGGGATCTCAATAGATAATATCAATCATGTACATTTTTAAAAATATAAATATTATCAGATTATTAATAAAGATCATTTTAATATTTTAATTGATTGAGTATTGGAGGATTAAAAATGCAAAAGGGAATATACAAAGTTCTTATTTTTCTTAATATTATGCTACCAATCTAGCTATCAACGGGACATTTAAAATGACTTCCGAAGGCCTTAAACTTGGCTGTGAAAGAGGGACATTAGAAAAGGGGAGAGTGCGGTTGGCTGATACAAAAAGAAAGCCTGTTCCTGCTATGCCTGACTGACTCACAGCATCATTTTAACCTTCCTGTCAACCCGCATGCTGCTTTCATCTGGCAGTCTCCTCCTGTCCGCTCTTCTGGATACTCATCACAGGCGGTGGGTCTCTGAAATGCTGTGGCGCGAACAAGGAGGAGGAGCGTGTGATCCATGCCAGGGACACCACTCTCACCCTCTCATCCTCCTAGGAAATCACCCAACGGTAGCCTTGTTCCTGGTCTATGAAGAGTCCTTCTGTAGCAGTGAATATATACATGCATCATGCATATATACATACATACATAGGGTTTCTTAAACATAAAGTCACTAACTCCCAGCACAAAAATGAAAGTCCATTCTTTATTCCAATATAAAGAAAACTCTTACGTGTTAAAGGGAATTGCAAATTACATAGTTAAATCCTAGTATTAGGTAGAATTTTAGACATTTTTTTTTCCTGAGGTGTGCTTTTCAGCTAACAATCAGAAAAGTCTCTCCATAGCAACTGATTAGAAAATAAAGCAAACAAATATAAAAATATTCCTAACAATCCATCATTATATTATTTCTTGATAAATAAATACCTTCCTATAGCTGTAAAATTGCAAAGAGCCTTATATCAGAAATAAATAACCTTAACTATAACTGTCTAAGGCAGTGGTTCCAACCTTCCTAATGCTGCAACCCTTTAATACAGTGCCTCATGTTGTGGTGACCCCAACCCCCATAAAATTATTTTTGTTGCTACTTCATAACTGTAATTTTGCTACTGTTATGTCTTAGGTGACCCCTGTGAAAGGGTCATTTGACCCCCAAAGGGGTCGCGACCCACAGGTTGAGAACCGCTGGTCTAGGGGAACGTTTTTAGTGAAGTCCTAGTTCTGGAGATCCTATACACATATAGTCGAAATGAAGCAATTAGTCCGTGTACTTGGGATAAATACTCTTTCTAGGGAGAAAAATTATTAGTATAATCTTAATCATATAAAGTTACTAGCTTTCTTGGTTGATTACACTTTTTCTAAGTTACCTTTGGCAAGTCATTTAACAAACCTGAATTCATTTATAAAGGTAAAGTTGAATAATATTATCTATTTTTGCTTTTTGTTGTTGTTTTTTTAATCCTCACCTGAGAATATTTTTATATTTACCTTCAGATAGTGCAGGAGGGAGAGTGGGAGGGAGAGAGAAACACTGATGTGAGAGAGACACATCGATTGGTTGCCACCCACACAACCCCAACCAGGGCCAGGGACAAACTGCAACCGAGGTACATACCCTGGGCCAGAATCAAACCTGGGACTCTGCTTCACAGGCTGTTACTCTACTGCTGCACCGTAACAGCAAGGGCAATATTATCTACTCTTAAAAGCACTTTTGAGACTCAGAAGTAATAATTCTGAGAACTAAGGGCAGGGAGCAGGTGAGGGAATGCTTCAGAACACAGCTTCTTCCTTTCTTCCTTTCTTCCTTTCTTTTTTTCTTCCTCTCTTCCTCTCTTCCTCCCTTCCTCCCTTCCTCCCTTCTCTTTCCTTCTTTTTGTTAGAGTTTGTAGCTCTTAAACATTATATTCAATTGAAGAGCCAACTTATCAACTTTCCTTCACTATAATTCCACTCAAAGAAAACCTTGAGGTGAAATGGGATGCCTCTTCTGGATCTGTCTCTACAGCAGAATGCCAAAAAGCTGCCACCACCCAATACTCCCAGACACCCTTTTCTTCCCCATAAACTTTGTAAGTTGTTCAACTGAATTTCTAAAATCTTTCACAATACAAAACACAATTCCTGAGTAAATATTACTACACAGTGATGTTTTCGGGCTTCATTACAGACAAGACAAAAGGGAGTCACACTGCCTCTGAAAGGACTCTGATATGACGTCAGAAGGAACTTCCTGACACCATGAATTCTTAAACCACGGAGGAGCACGACACAAAAGGAGATGCGATATCTTCTATCATTTGAATAGAGTTTAAAAGTAAAATGAATTAATTAAAAGAAGACTACTAATAGACAAAGGATAGAAGAGTTGATCTTTCAAGGCATCCTCTTGACTCTAGTATTTGATTAGTCACAGTTGTTATTTGTGGGGCAGTAAGCACTCCTGTATTCCCTGCTTAATATTTGAAGCCTGGGACAGTCACCTATACTTCCAACATAACCAAGAGCGATGCAATAATGAAGAGCAATGATTTTTATGCTGGCTTCTCTTTTCTACCAGTCACCAAATTGATTTTCATGCCTGTACTCAGGTACAGAGTGAGTAAGAGTGTCCCAAGAAAGAGGATAGTTTCTAAATCACCTCTTCCTGCTCATCCTTTAGCATGGCAACAGGATGCCACATGCTTTTTGCTCAGCTTCTTCATGGCTGTCTTCATATCAGCATTTCTGAGTGTGTAGATGAGGGGGTTCAACATAGGTGTGATCACTGTGTAAAAGATGGAGAATACTTTATCCACAGAGAAGCTGTAGAAAGGCCTCAGGTAGATGAATATACACGGCACAAAAATCAGGCTGACCACGGTTATGTGGGAGGCACAGGTAGAGAGTGCCTTGCTCTGGCCCTGGCGGAAGCGAGTTCTCAGGGTGATGAGAATGACAGCATAAGAGAAGAGCAAGACCAAGAAGCAGACAAGAGACAGCAGACCACTGTTCGAAACCATCAGAACCTCTACCACATACGTGTCCATGCAGGCTAGCTTGATGACCTGTGGGACATCACAGTAGAAGTTGTCCAGTTCATTGGGGCCACAGAAGGGAAGCTGGATGACCAACGCGACCTGTGTGATGGAGTGGATGCAGCCCCCACACCAGCAGGCAAAAACCAACAGGAAGCACAGCTGACGGTTCATGACTGTCAGGTAATGCAAAGGATTACATATGGCAACATACCTGTCGTAGGCCATGACTGTCAGCAGAAACATCTCACTGGCTCCTAGAAAGTGCAGGAAGTAGATCTGAGCCAGGCATCCTGAATAAGAGATCATCTTGCCCTGCCATAGGAAATCCCCCAACATCTTGGGTACAGTAACGCAGCTCAAGCATAGGTCAATGAAGGACAGATGGCCCAAAAAATAGTACATAGGAGATTGGAGTAGGCAAGCATCAGCTCTCACTGTTACCACTATCAAGAGGTTTCCTAGGATAATAGCCATGTACAAGAACAAAAATATTATGAAGAGAAATAGCTGCAGCTCCCATGAGGAGGATAGGCCCAGAAGAACAAATTCTGTCACCTTTGAATCGTTTTCTTTTTTCATTAAGTCAAGAATACCAAGCGACCTAGAAGAAGAATTAAATGGGAACTAGAGAGATTTAAGTTAGACAAAAGGAAAAAAAAGTCATTAGTTTGAGTCTGGTATTTATAAATCATATTCCAAGTCTAAAAACACTTAAGCAAGTTCTGTGAGGTAGGAAATGTACATTTCTGTATAAATAGAATAAGGAACATTTTGCATCTCTTCCAACTCTTTATTCCTGTAATGCTTTTAAATTGCATTTGCAACAAACTAGGAAGGGAGACATTGACCTGGGCATGAGGTGATGAGCACATAAACATCATTTCATTTTTTAATAGACAGAATTGTATTGTTTAAGGACAAGAGTTCTGGAATAAAGTAGCTGGATCTGATGCCCAGCTCTAATTCACCAATGGAGTGACCTCCAGCAAGTTATTATTCCTGAGTTTTATTCTTTGTTTATTCAGTTTAATACAGGAATGATAATATTTCCAATGTTGTTTTGAGTATCAAATGTAATCTGTCTTTGAGCAACATACACTTACCAAAAAATGACTAAGTCCCTCAAAGTGAGAAAATATTTCTTTTTTTTTTTTTTTTTCCTCACCAGAGGACATTTTTCCATTTTTTGTTCAGGTAGAGTGGGAGGGAGAGAGAGAGAGAAACATCGATGTGAAAGGAACACATCTAGTGGCTGCCACCCGCACAACCGACCAGGGCCGGGGACAAACTGCAACCGAGGTACGTGCCCTTAGCGGGAACCGAACCCGGGTCTCTCAGGACCGCAGGCCGACATTCTAACCGCTGAACCAAACCGGCCAGGGCGAGAAAATATTTCTTATTCGTCTGTGTACTCATACCATACGTAGTACTTATTGCATAAAGATTTGTCAGATTGAAGGAAGAATATGCTGTACTGTGAATTACCATACTGTACAAAGGTTAGTAGTTATTATAAATGAGCATGTTAAAAAACAAATTATTTAGGAAGTATTAAAAAGAGGCTCATGTTCTTTGCCCTTAATTATTATCTCAGGTGACAAAAGTTGGAAAGTTTGTAGAGATTGGGTAAAAAGAAATAAAATCTTCACTGTTAAAGTTTGGGGAAGCATCAGACTCAAGATCAGTAGGAAAGTTGCTGGAACACATGAATTACCCAAAACAAGAAACCAAGGACAGTGATCCATATCATTGAGGCATGTACAAAAGAGGCTCACCGTGACCCGTTTTGTAGGAAAAGGTAATAAGGGAAATGAGAATTATGCTGCTTTTGGACTTTTCAACAACCATAAATCTACTTAAGAGAAATAAAGAACACACTATATTGTTTATCCATTGCTGATGCTCTACACCTATGTTCACCCCCAACATGGGGTGGGAGTATCTTGGATTACAAATGAAAAATCAGGGAATATTGATACACTTTTTCCATTGAAGTACTTAAGAATTAGCAGATGTGGTCTATCCAGATTAGGATATTTTTAATCTAGAACTAGCTCTAGGCAAAATATTAAGTGACACAGAATTTGTGTTTTTCTGCCCTCAGTCCCAGTTACTCATTCAATGTTGGACTTGGTTCTCTCAAATCATTCAGGGAAAGTTACCTGATAGTTATTCAAACTAGGTGTCAAGGATTTACATAGACAATGCAGAAAAGTATCAAATTTCAAGAAGAAAAATTCTTAATACCAAGAAATTTCTCTGTGTACATTATTTCAAGATAAGCAAGCAGGAGAGAGACTTTTGGGACTAAGGAACTTTTGGGTGTCTCTTTGACACCACATATGTGACCATCCTCTTCACCTGCTCATAGAGCGAGAAAATGGAAGTCTTTGTGGAAAGACCCAAATGCAGCATCAAGGGGAGAAAACAAAACCAAGCTCTTTACCCAATCAAGGACTCCTTGTGGATAGCTGAGCATCTATTTTCTAGTTTTTTTAAAGCAGGAAACCAGAGAGATCTATGCAGAAAATACTAAGAGTGGGAGTGAAGTTTTCCTCATGGAAGTTGTTGGGTTTGTTTTGTTTTTCAAATAGATTATATTATATTTTGCTAGTTTGTCTCTTTATTTTTGCCAGTTTTGAACTAAAAGCATTCTCAGAAAAAGAAACTTCAAAACAATGATGGAAAGTAATTATCTAGTTTGGGTTTAAGTGGACTCCTTTTGAAGACATCTGATGTGCTTTCTAATTTCTTCTGAAACACCAAGAAATAGACATCATTGGAGATAGTACTCATCATGATGTTTCCCACTAAGAAGGGCATATTCTTTCTGCTCCAAATGTTTTGGGCTTTGTTTGAATTATTGCATTTTGAAGCGCATGTGGGGGAAGTAAAAAAGATTTAACAAAAAGCAACTGAAATAATTTAAGAAATGGAAAGTAGGATCTTGGAGGAACTATTGTAGAATTAGGTGGTTTTAAGACAATATTGCATGAGCCCAGTGCCTTCTGTTATATAAAGTTGATTCTATCTTATCCAAACCTTGTAACCACCTTTAAAGGTACCACCAGTACTAGAATTCCCTGGTGCTATGGGAATTTCATTATTCTGTGAATGCTTCTAAGAGCATAAAGCTAGAACAAGAAAACTTCAATGATTTCTTAAATTTAAAAATGATGAATGTCAGAGTGTATACAGGGAAAAGATACAGACAACAGTATAAAAAATACAGGCAACAGTATAAAAAAAATACAGACAAAAGTATAAAAAATGATTTCAGAAAGAGCAAGGGTGGTGAGTAAATCTTTGAATAAATATATCTAAGAAACTTACATCATTGCATGTCAGGAGCTATGTGGGTTTAAGGAAGGGATATGTCACCCTGTTATCCATCCCCAAACCCCTTCCTCATTGTTTCACACTAGCAAAATGATAAATCCTCAGATGACCACCCCAGTTGCCCAGTCTGTGCCAAACTGCTTTCTTATAAATCAAGCCCTAATTGAGGGTTGGCTGTACAGATTGGCGAGATCTCTTATCCCTGGGGCTCTGGCTGTGTCTGCGTCTTTTATAGTCTTTATGCCACTGCTCAGCTTAATGAGCCCTGGGATACACAGGCTGCTGTTTGAATTGTGTAAATCTTCGTTCTTGCTAGAATGTGGACTGTAGGCCCTGCAGCCTCTGAAACAGTCAGACCTCATTGCATAACACAACCCACCCCCTTTACCTACCTTGGATTGATTAATTTGACACTGCACATGCTACCAATATTCCACATGTCAGCCTGTACCTGAGAAAAATGATTCTCGCTGGTTTCTATCTCAACCATGCATCTTGGAGTGGGCTAAGCTGGATGATAAATACCAAGTTATCACTGAAAGCTGTAGAAGCAGAAATATAGGGCCTTAACATAATACCTGAGTCTCTTGGCGACACCTCAACAGCTTACCTAGTTGGTGCCTGTGAATGGATCTTAGGAAAGACGGGTGTTGGCATTAGTAATTGAATATTTTTATAAATTGCTGCTGTGGAAGTATAATTTTTAAATGTAATGAAACATAATCCACAAACAAATAGATGATAAACACATGTCAAAAACTGCATTTAAGCCCTGGCCAGTGTGGTTTAGTTGGTTGAGCAACATCCGGTACACTGAAAGGTCACCAGTTCCATTCCTGGTCAGGGCACGTGCTCAGGTTGAGAATTTGATTGCTGGCAGGGTGCATGCAGGAGACAGCCATTTGATGTTTCTCTCACACATCAATGTTTCCCTCTCTTCCTCTCCCTCCCTCTCTCTGTAAACACAAAATCAATGAAAACCTTTTTTTAAAAAAAAACTGCATTTACCCTTTAATGAGGGATGGTAAAACGAGAAAGCCAATTCAAAAAACCTTATGTGACTTTATATGATCAGAATAAAAAAAAAAAAAAAACCACTGAAGCAAAATTTCTAAGTCACGTGTAAATTGGCTAATGTCCTAAAGGGTAATACAACTTTAACCTTTAGGATTATCTTTTCTGCCATACTAAAAAGAAAATTAACACAATCTGGCAATTTTCTATTATATCTAACTAGGTAATTGTATAACATCTGAGATCCCATAAGTAAGTCTTAAATTAAAGAAAATTACATCCCCTAGAATTAGTTGACCCTTGAGTGAGCTTGGTAATCAATATTTTATCATGATACTAAAAGGTCACGTTTATATTTGGATTTCACCTAGACAGGAAGTACAGCAAACCAGCAGAATAGTATTGGACATTTCTCTTTTTGCCGAAGGAGTTGTCATGGCAGTCTAGTTGTTAGACTTGTCCCCTTTTCTGCATAGTGACAGCTCAGGAGGAAAAAAGATGAGATATATACAGCTGAGTGTGTGGGATTCACCTTGGCTTAGATGATTCAGGCCCTGTAGGAATCAGTAACTCCTGTCACAATTCTATCAGATTAGCTTCCAAGATCCCCTAGATGGGGCGCCTTATAGGAGATACTTCGCATCTTACAAAGAGCTATATCTTCAGGATAAGTGAAAAACAGACTAAGTGTGTTTATACCCCAATTCTAGTGAACTGTAGGAAAGGTTGCCTTGACAAAGAGCACAGGGGGAGAAAAAAGAGAGAGAAAATAAACCTTGAGAAGTTAGGGCCACAGAGAATCCTTCATAAACGTGGCAGCTTTAGTGTACAAAGTGGGGATCTCAGACTCTGCCTTTGCTTAAGGATGTCCCTGACAAATAGTGTCCTCAAGTGCCTGACAGTTGCAAACCCAAATTCTCTGTGGAGGAAGGCATGTTCCTCCTAGATCTTAGAAAGCCCACAAATAACTTTTCAAGGACAATGAGCAAACAAAGCCAAAAATAACTGTATTACTTCTCTGTTGCCATGGTAATGTAACAACTTACCACACTGGTGACTTAAATAACTTTATCATCTTACAGTTCTGTGGGTTGGAAGTTTGACAAGGTCTCCCTGGGCTAAAAATCAAGGTGTAGGCAGGGTGCACTCCCCTGGGGAGAATCCAGTTTTTAAAGGCTTTGATGTGAGAAGCTGTCAAGCTCCTTAGTCAATCTTATCAGAATTCT